ATTATGTTTGCTAAGGCTGGTGGGAGTTGCAGCTCAAAAAGATCTGGTTTGTCAAGCCTCATTCTGAAATATTTTGAGGAAGACATTCATTAGACCAAATTTATGTTTACTATTGTGTTCTATGGTCAGGTGCTTTGATTTTCTCATTATCAATATCATTCTCATCACTAAAAATGCAATGTTTCTTTTATAAGCAAAGTCAGATGCTTAGTTTGTAACATCTAAGCTAAGTCTCCATCATTACTGGTAATTTTTAGTAGAGAATAAATTACAGAATAATTTTTATAAGAGTGAATGATTCCTTCAGCCTTCATCATTACTTCTAAAGATGGATAACAATTCACTTATAGTTGCAGTGACAGATACATTTAGAAGCTGAACAGTTAATTAAATTGATATTTAAGGTCATACTCTTTTGGTAGTGCTCAGAACTGCATATGAACTGGTTATCTAAGGATTCTACCACAAGTCCAGTCTCTTAGTATAGAATGCAACTGTACTAACCTGTTTCCCTGAAAAGAAGACCTAACCTGAAAATAAGCCCTAGTATGATTTTTCAGGATGGTCGCAATATAAGCCCTACCCCCAAAATAAGCCCTAGTTAAGTGAAACCCCACCCTCCACCATTGTGCAGCATTGTGCAGCAACCAGAAGATGACATAACTGTAAAATGAAACATCCCCGGAAAATAAACCCTAATGTGTTTTTGGAGCAAAAATTAATATAAGACCTGGTCTTATTTTTGGGAAAACACGGTATACAAATTTGATATAAATGTTATTTATCAAAAGCTGTATATACTATACAACTCTGCTGGTTTAAGTGCCATGATTCCATACTGTGGAATTCTATGATTTGTAGGGATTTGGGGGCAGCAGGGCATAGCTTGGTGATCTGACTACGCATCAAGAGGTTTGGGAGTTTTATTCCCCATTCTGCCTCTGTTTGGGGCGGGGTGAAGATAGACAGCCTGTGTAGCCTTGGGCAAGCTGCATATCCCCATACCTGCCCCAGAAGAAGGGACTGATAATCCAGTTCTGAGTACTCTGTACCTAGGAAAGAGTTGCCATAACTCAGAATCAAATTGACAGCTTATTTTTGTTGTTGCTGCTGTTGTTAGGGAAACTTGGACTTCTCGTGGCTATTCAAAGTCAGAACAACCATGACGCTGTCCGATTTCCAATGGGGAGTTGTAATTCCGCGGCATGCACTGGAACGGTCAAGCAGACAGGTTTAGTGTCTTATTCAAATACAGATTCCAAGGCCCCAATAGGATGGAGCCATAGCACCTAGTGTGATCTCTAGCTACTAGTACAGTGGTGTGGGTAAGCAAGGACTGAAAACCTGTGGTCCTCAGCCTAACTAACACGCAGGTTTTGATGTGTGAGAGAGTGCTATGTAATTCTGCAATGTGACAAAGCCCACCCTCCATCAGCTGTGGCCTCATTTCCTCTGGGTCAGAGTTCATCATAGGAAGAAGGTTCGGACAACATATCTGACAAACATATCCAATAAATAAAAACAAGACCGAACTGCTATCTGGCAATATTTATTCCTGAAGGAGATTGTGTGCTTACTGAATCTAGTATAGAATGAATTTCATCACAGTAGGGTGACCTGGGATGTCCATAGCAGCAGTATGGTCACTACAGTACGGTTTTTAACATGCAACCTCACTATACAAATTCTGAAGGATCTTGACTAGAGACAAAGTGTCATATACATCCTAAGGAAGGGCAGAATTACAAGCACACCTTTGAAGTGCTGCATCTAAGGCAGCCTCCCCCAATTTAGCACTATCCAGATGGAATAGACTACAGATCCCACCAAGCCTCACTAGATACTCACTAGATACGTGGCTATTGTGTGCTGCCTGGGAATAATGGGGAACAAATACCACCCCACCTCGAGGGCACCAGGATGGGAAAGATTAGTTCTTTCATGGGGTGGTAAAGCTGTGGCTGGACAGCAGCACTCACATCTGCAGGCAGGGGGAGCTCATAGGATTAACATTTCCTTCAAAGTGCCTTTCACAAAAGAAACCATCGTGCCAAGAATAAGATGTCAGAATATGTCAACTTCCTATGTGTAAGGAATCGTTGTTGCTGCTTGGAGGAGCATTTAATTATGGAAGCCCGGGCACCTGAAGTGGTACCATCCAGTTATGGCTTCACCACCTGCATAAGAACTAGGTTTGGATCAGAACTATTTCTCTTGCTGTGGCTGAGAGGCGGAAATGCCCACGACAGTTGATCATACAGCTCTATAACTCCCTCCTGCATTTTTCTTTTTGAAAACATGTTCCCTGAGTTTCTAAACCCACAGTCTGACATTCTTCTCATCAAATAATCCTGTATGGTATAGAAGCTGTCTACCTAGAGAAGGCAAACCTGTCAGCAGCTTTAAGCAGCTTTATAGCAATATTATCAGAAACACAAATGGCTATTGCAAAACGGTAGGTCCCAGCAGGTACTAAAAGGTGTTCGTTTGATCCTAGACACTAGAGCAGCATCTTAAATATCTGGGAAGCCCTAAGGGAGCGAGAGATTGTTCATTTGTACTGATCCACTCCTACAATAACCCTGTCTACTCCACTCAGAATTCCCAGTCTTAGCATTCAACAGCAATAGCCTCTAGTCCTGCCATTGCAAGTCCCATTAACCCCACACAACATGGGCAATGGTAAGGTTTTATGGGAGCTATAGCCCAAAACATAAGAAAAGCCCAAGTTCTATGGCCTTTATACAAGCAGATGAAGTGGATGCTTTAGCCCCAAAGATTTCCTGAGGATTCCAGAGACACTGCTACAATATAAGAAAGTGAAACATGTGACCATCCAGATATTGAGGGGGCTGAAACTCCCACAGCCTTAACATGCTGAATAGCGAGGGATTCAGGCAACTGCGACCAGGCATATCTGAAGAGCCACATGTTCAACAGTCCTAAAATACGAGAATATCATGAAGCAGAATGGTGGCTCATTAGAAACATATTTTGCTTAGACTCAAAAGTATGTACTGATCAACTAAAGCTGGGATTCATTAGTCCACTCCATCTTCATTATTAGGAATCCTAGCACTGCTCTTTTACTCTTCAATAGACGGTTTCCCATTCCCTAATCGCCAACCCTTGCCAACATGTCCAATGCTCAGAAATGCTGTGGACAGTCAGTCAAAACATATGGAGGGCACCTGGCTGAGAAAGGCTACCTTTTCTTCCTGTAACTCGACGTGAGCTACAAAAGGGGCCCTTGAGTAGGCCAGTGATAAAGCAGTTTGAGTAGAAGCTTGGCTGTCACTTGCATATGTTAAAACAACAACGTGTCTTGTGGCACCTTAAAGACATAAGCCACTACCCTTTTGGTACTCAAACACACCCAGAGAAACAGTCTTGGAAACAGAAGTGGCTTTTTGATGAAGTGCTGGGTGTGTGCCTGGTCATGTTCTCCAAAGAACTACTTGCAGGGTTATAGCTCCATGCTTGGTCACCACCGACAGGTTACCAGTCTAACTCATTTGATGATGGTGTAAACTATCACAGACTACAATTGACTTGTGATGCATTCCTATTGGTGTAAAGTAAAAAGGAGCCCTAAGCTTCTGCCATAATAAAGTGTATAAACATCCAAAGCACCACAAGACTCTTTGTTGCAATACCCCAACACGGCTTCCTGTCTGGAAATGAAATGTACCAAAGCACCATGGCAGATTGTTTCCTATAGATGGAAGTGACATATCCCTTTGTATCCCTTGAAAAGCAATGCTTTTCAATAGACTTTGTTCCCACAGTCAGCTGCAAGGCATGAAGCAGTAAAAATAAAATAATGCCCATACATGTGTGATCCAGATTGGAAACATTCTGCCCTCATTCCTCTTGACCAGTCAGTGTCCAAAACCCATCAGCAAGTTGCATATTTAAACTGTGCAATGTCTGACATTCTAGCCATGGTTTTGTCTTGTCTGCAAAAGGTTCCTGATTCAAATCCCACCAACTCTGGACAACTCTGGAAAAACCTGGAGAGCTGCCTATCAGAGAGTATAGGTATGACTGAGAAAGACATTTCTGCCTTGAGAGGAGTCCCTTTCTTACATGCCAGCAAAATCCAGCAGGTGAATGAATCGGTGACTGTGTGAATCACATCTTCTCTATTGTATGCTGTGCTGTTACTGACAGTTTTGGATTGACATTGGGACATACACAATCACTGGCTAGCATTTACACTTGAGGAGAAAGTAACTTATGCATTCCTTTGTGGGTTGTCAAATCAAGCTTTACAGAAAGCCCTGGATTCAATTGTCCAAATATGCATATGGTGAAGTAAACCCTGAGACAGCATCCATTTCTGACCTTCATGCCACACTCATGCTCATGCAGGGATGGGCACCCTTCCTCTCCATACCAGCTTCCACAATTTGTGCCCTACCTGTCACATATCCACTCTGCAGGGCCACTGGCTTCCTGATGTGCTTTCCAGGCAGGAATAGGACCTCTGGCCACAATCGTCTGCTTATACCTCCTGGAGTAAACCCATCCGCAGACATCTCACCAGTGAACTGCCACCAGTTGGGGAGTCATTGTAGTCACTTCCTGCTACACACCAGTCGCATGACTTGACAAACAATTTTTTTTTTCTTAACTTGGGACACTTCACAGCTGACAGATTGACAATGACATCATTTTCATACTGGATTCTAGCCCATCTAACTATTGATGTGATGATAGAGGGGCCACCTTGAATATAAGCTGTGGGGATGCTCAAAAGAGCTTCACAGGTTGGGTCTCTGGTATTCACTCTCAGATATCCATGGAGCACCCTCTGTCAGTGCTTAATTTCTTCTTACCAGACACCATTGTTTTTTGGATCCCATCCAGGCCATTCCATTTTGCACAATGACTCCTTTTAACCAGGTTACATAGCAACATCCCACATATAAACATGCACACACATGCACGCAAATGCCAGCAAAAAGTGCAACTAAGGATTATTGTTTTTGGGGGGGGAGGGAGCTGTAATTAATACTGCAGATGCACATCTTTGCCCAAGAATGGATAGTGGAAGACTCATTAGGGACCACAGACAGGGACTTCCTCCTATTCCTCCAGCTGTACCTTCAAGCCAATGAACAGGAAGAAAGGGGCTTCTGCACATTGAAGTACTACAGCTAGAAGGAACTCATATTTTGTCCCTGTTCTACAAAACTGGAAGATGCTGCAGAGATGCTGGAGATGCTTCTAACTGTTGGATATGCTTCTCAAGTGTCAGTCTTGCTTGTCCAGCCGCTCTCTCTCCCAGCTCTCAGGGGATAGAAATAGAGCTGGAGGCCATCAACAGGGTGCACAATAGGCACTGTTTGCATCTTAGGGAAATGAGCAGTGGCCAGCTCCCAGCGGGCTGTGCTGACCAGTTCAATGGCAAGCATCTTAAGGATGGTCTGCGCCAGTTCCTTACCAATGCAATTCCGGACTCCCCCACCAAAGGGGATGTAGTGAAACCGGTGAGGGTTTGCAGCTTTGGGTTCCTCGCGTTCTTCCTGGGATACCCAAAACCTTTCAGGATCAAAGGTGTCTGGGGGACTCTGGTAGATGTTGGCAGTCTCGTGTGTGTCCCGAATGCTATACATCACACTCCAGCCCTTGGGAATCTGATAGCCCTAGAGGAGAAAGAGAGAAGACAGAATCAGCACCAGAGACAGCAGCCTGCAGAGGGCAACCTGCTCAGTGAGAAAGTGAGGGGAAAGCAACTTTTAGAACACCCAGGACAGATCTAGCCATAAGGGGAGGAAAAGCCTCATAGCTCAAACTGGCTAGCTTCAAAGACATTGGCAGATCCCTAGGGTGATCTGAAATTATTAAGTGCCTATGGGGCAGAAATGTACAGTTTCAGCAATTTGTGAATCACAAGCTATAGCAAAATTTGTACTGCACAAGAACCATCTCCATGTTAGTAATTCAACAGAAACTCACACGCAACAAATATTTTATATTGGGATTGTTAGAACAGTACATCTAACTCTAAAGGCTGGATGATTTCTGGTAAATCAGCAAGGACTTCTAGATTCCAAGGGTACGTTTCTGTGGGGAAGGATGTGAACCCGGATCAGTCCTGATGAGACTCAGGACAAGTTCTTAGGCTGAGAAATCTTTAATTCTAACTGTATGGTTTATGGCTGGTGAATCATGCAGTTCTAGTGAAGCAAACCAATTAACAAAGTGGGAGTCCCAAAGTCTGAATTCTCTCACCCCAAGCTTTACAGAATATCTGTAATACATTGACCCCAACTTACAGCTCTAACTTTGACTGAGGACATGGTTGTTGTGCTCATATGGAAGCTGACCACGGACATTGTGATCTGGGAGCTAAGCCTCAAATCCATTAGGCTATAAGCCTAGGCACATGGGAGAAAGAACCACTGACTTCCTCCTGAGCAAATATACATAAGATTACATTGCTATCACCTCCAATAGATATTTGGGAGCAGAATCATTCTTATACAGCTTGACAATTGCTGTTATTAGAAAAGCAGAACTCAAAAGAAATCGCACATGATATACAAGCCTGAAAAGATTTTTGTGTGAAGTGGGAACAGGTGGCACCGGACTAATGCCCTACCCAGTATAAGGTGCAGCTCAGTGTGTTGATATTCTAGGCTGAATAAGACTCCTGAATTGTTTCATTATATTATTATTACTCAAAAACACAAGACACAGTTTTTGACTAGCATTTTATAACAGATACGCATTTTAACTACAAATCCAAGTATCAGTAGTAGTAGTAGCAGCAGTAGTAGTAGTTATTTTATAACAGATACACATTTTAACTACAAATCTAAGTATCAGTAGTAGTAGTAGTAGCAGCAGCAGCAGCAGCAGTAGCAGCAGCATAGCTTGCATTGCACAAGCCTGATGATATCATTAGCTGCACTTTTGTTTTAGATCTCAGATCCCTTGGGATCCCTTTCATCATGGTGGCAGCAGCAATATTCAGACTTAGCCACCCTATCCTATGGCCCCCAGTGACTTCCCCATGATGAAAGCGATCCCAAGGGGACCTCAGGACCTTCCAGGGAAAATTTTAATTTCCAAAAATCTCCAGCACCTGATGACATCATCTGTTTTGCACAGTTTAATTATGCTGCTGGATTTCAGCCACCAAATCAGACTCTTAAGCCATCTAACCCAGTGGTCCCCAGCCTTGGGCCTCCAGATGTTCTTGGACTTCAACTTCCAGAAATCCTGACCAGCAGAGATGGTGGTGGAGGCTTCTGGGAGTTGTAGTCCAAGAACATTTAGAGGCCCAAGGTTGGGAACCACTGATCTAACCCACTGTAGTCAACACTGACTGGTAGTTTCAGCTCTCCAAGATTTAAGGCAGAATTCTTTCTTATCCTAAATGGAGATGCTAAGAACTGAAGTTGGGAGTCTCTGTATCCAGAATGTGTGTGTTACCACTGTGCAGCTACATCCCTCTCCCATATGCATAAAGGTCTCCTGCAATGGGTGTCCCACTGTTTGCATTGTTGCCTATTCCCAGGTAAATGTGTGTAGGAGTTCAGCATGAAGAGCCCATTCCGAGTCACACAACTAATTTTTGAATGGATCTAAAGAGCAATTTAGTGGTTCTGTGAGCCATTGTCCGAGAAGGAACTGCCTAGAAAAATGAGAGCATGTGTGGTCATCAGTGCCATGCAGAAGCAGTTCCTTCCACTGACCTGTTAAATTTCCTTCTGACATCTGCTATTACACAGCCACACAGCTGCCCTGGGGTCATTCTCCACTAATAAGAACATGGCCCCATACACACAACCCTCCACTGCAGATGCTGCAGTTAAGCTTCCTGGCATGGCAGAGATCTTGCCGTCAGATCCAACTAATGTCAGAGTCATTTCACATGCATATTGCAAGCTTTCCTCAAACTTCAACGGAAGCCATTCTCAGTTCTCCATCTTGGAAAAGATTTCCTCTATGATTTCCTCTACACACCCTACCTGGATGAATGGGCTTTTTTCATCACTGCTGCTATTCACACAAATCATCTCAACCAGCCAACCGCTACTGGGAATTCCTGTTTGCATACACCCCTGCCCATATTTCTCCCCACTCTACACACCTTTCAGTGGTTGCCCATTCATGACCCATTTCTTTCTTGCACCTAAAACCCTAGAGCCATAGAGACCGTAACCTGCCCCACACATGACCCTGGGAGCCTCACTGAAATACTTTCTGGTGACACCACCAAATGTTTTTGAGGACTGCTCCATAGTTGTTTGAAGCAGGACGGTGTGGTGACATGCAGTTGTTTGGAGGAAGGTGTTTAGCGATGGCATTTCCCAATATGCAACACTCAGCAACCATTTTTGTATTTAGATGCATGTTGAAAGCTGACCTACTTTTGCAAGTGTCACCTCTGTGTCATCTAAATTGTTCTCAATCATACTGTATTTCAATTTTACGTATTATGTTATAAGTTTATTCCTGGGACTGCATGTTTATTTGTGCTTAGAAAGCTTCAGATCTAAGCAGTTTATAAAAATTCATACATACAATAAACAAAAAGTACCTCACTTCTGTCATACATTGCCAGCCCTATGGAGGAGAGACTCTCAGTCTCACTGTGCATGCAGGTACGTTTGGACACAGTTCCCATGACCAAAAATGGCAGAGTAACCTAGTGAAATCCTATTGAACCAAGTCAGATAGATTCCACCCACATCCCCTAAAGAAGAGCCACCCAGCAAATCCCACAACTCACATCCAGCTCAAATGTTTGCAAAGCTGTCCTGTAGCCTCCAGACACCGGGGGCAGCAAACGCAGGACTTCCTTGACAACACAATCCAAGTAGCGCAGGCGGACCACCTTCTCCAGGGTCAAGTAGGGCTGGCAGTAGCATTCAGGTCCCTCTAGGCTGCTGGGAAGCTGGCCTGATTCTTTCTGCCTGGGAACTGAGCAAGGGCTGTTTGTAGTCCCACGGAAGGTCTCCTGGGTTCCTTGACCCACAGAATACAAGTGGGGACCATTCTCTTCCCCTTTGGTTTCTTTCTCTTGTTCTCCTTCCACCCTTGGTGGAATGGGCAGCTTGAGATCCTTAGTGTTGTCCTCTTTTCCCGGGACAATGAGCATCGCTTGGCAAGGCTGGTTTGTTGGAGAGCCCTCTGTGGCAAAGCAATGGCATTGCTTGGTAAGATCATGGGATGCCAACTCCTGCTGGAGCTTTGTTATCACCAAGGGGTGTTGCAGGAGCAGAAGGATCATGGAAGTACTAGCGCTGGCAGTGGTGAAGAAGGCTGCAAATATCAGTTCAATTGATGACTCCTGAAAGATAAGTCATCATGAGATGAACAGGTGGGAGCAACATTTCCAAAAATGTTGATAGCAGGTTGAAATGGTGGAGTAGCACAATCCAGCTTAATTATTAAGGGGTTCCAGGAAGTCCACACATTCCTTGTACATGAAATGAAGGTGTCTTCCCAATTTCACAGTTTCCCTTTTAAAAATACACTAAAATAGTACCAAATGGGGAGAAACGTATTGAGAGGCCAAGACCTTTGAACCACCCTCAGGCAGCTCAGGCAAGGGGATTCTGAGAGATGTAGTCCCAAAGTTTAACTGTTCCAAGCTTGGACAAGAGAAGAATGCCATGCTCAGGGGTTTGTAGGGGTTTATAAAATAAAAGAGGAGAAGCCCCAAATAGCCCCCAAAGACTGAGCTGTGGCCCCAAGTGGTTGAGTTGAAGGAATCATGCTGGAAGAAGGCAGGGAAGACACATTACACAGAAGCCCTGGATACTGCAACCTTTCGTTGCAAAACTGCTGTACCTTCCTTACAGTGGAGCTGAAATGGTGTGGGAGCAGACCAACACAGAAAGAAGAAGAAAACACAATGAATGGTTAATCATTGGATGGAGAAAACTAGGAGAAATGGCTTGCTCTCAGTCAACAAGAATACCAAGTCAACAGAGAAACACTTTGGATCTTATATTTCCAAAGCCAGGCAGCCTTCAGGAGCTTTAACTCCAGAACATCCAGAACAACCTCTTTGCCTCGGCCTGCTGGACAAGGGTCTCTTTAAAATGGGAGAGGCCGTGATGCACCACCTGCCTTGAGGCTGAATGCTCAAATATCAGGGTTTCCCATCTATTGAGGTCCATTCCTAAGGCCTTCAGATCCCGCTTGCAGATGTCCTTGTATTACAGCTGTGGTCTCCCTCTGGGGCTATTTCCCTACACTAATTCTCCATACAGGAGATCTTTTGGAATCCGACCATCAGCCATTCTCACGACATGCCCAAGTCAACATAGACGTTGCTGTTTCAGTTTCTGAGAACTGCCTTTCCAAAATAATTTTATTTTTTGACTGGTTTGGGCAGCTGTTCAATGACACATGAAAGCCCCGCCAAGCACCTCATGTGGTTCTGCTTATCATCTGAACCCTGAAAACGTTTCCTTCTGACTATCCAAATGGATTTCAAAATATGAGCGATGGCCTCATCGCTCCATCACCAACTCCATTCTTTGCTTTCAAGATCAGTCTCCTTGATGCAGGCTTGGATGACTAGATTTGAGAAAAGCTCCTCAGACATTAATGATCCTGACTGTGAACAGAATAGGCTGCAGGCATGAGAGGATCTGGTTCTCATGTGCATAATAACTTGCCTCAGTGTTGACTGGGGCCTGTACCCTCCTCTCTACACCCCTCCCTCAGGAATCATTTATTCATTCCTGCGGCTTGTAAACTCAGAACAGCTTTCTTACCCATAGCTTTTTATTTCCCATCTCTTTAGAAAGCCACCTTTAAAATGGCTTTTCCCAACCAGGTGCTTCAATCACTAAAATCCTAAACTCCACTATTTCTCTCAGTGGAATTCAGTCAGTCCCCCCCGCCCCCCCCCCACACATACTGTATAACATGATATTTTCAGCATCCAGATGTGACTAATTCATTCAGTCTTCAAATTCTTTCTGGAGACTGGCTTTTGAATGCAGGCATTAAAGCCACAACATCTAGTCTTGGTTTTTTGTTGTTTTGGGGAATCTTTTAAAATACACACCCACTGTTTCCTTCCCCCCCACCCCGTTTTTGTTTTGTTTACATCACCTTGTTTGATGAAAAATTCTGGATAACTTGGAAGGTTGCACACTGTTTTGTAACATCTTGGTTGGCCCTAATAAAGGTATAGCCTAGACCTCTAAAGTTACTCACTTGAGTTCTTCCGAGGAATCCTCAGATTTGGTTGCAATTAAAATAAAATAGGGGGAAAAGGAACTCAGATGGGATTCTAATCTGATGGATTTGAGTTTTAAAAGGGAATTTGTGTTACTACAAAGCAATTTCTAGCAGCACAAACTGGCGATTGCAAACTAAAATGCCAGCAGAAGAGTTGGAAAAGCAGAATATTATAAATACTAGGAAGCAAATAGTCATGTGGAATGACTGAACATCACAGAGCACATGCTGTGAAATTAAAGACGATGTGAATCCCTGTGAAAATGATTCCACTATGAATTTAGCTTCAAACTGGCGCTACAGTTGAAGAAAACAGAAAAATCTGGAAGCCTGGAATAATATAATGCCCATTAATCCACATAAAAATGACCTCTACACATGATCAGAGGTACCTACTTTTCTTATTTGCTTATTTGTGTTTACAGCTATTGGGACTGAACCTGTTCAGCTAATAATAACAAGGTTATTATAACCATCCTTCTGGTAGGAGACAATGATGATCGAGCTTCTGATGAGGTGAGGGATGATTACCCGACCTCTTATAGGTGGCCCCACCACACATAAATCTGTCACCACCCCAGCAGCTTAAAAGAACATTACCTTCAATTCCTGCATGGTGAATTCTTTGCCGTATTCCTTGGCGCTGTTGATGATGAAATCCAAGGCATCGCTGTGAGCCTCAGGATCCTTCCGTTGCAATTTTTCCGTGATAGCTTTCTCCATGTAGTCGTGTAAAAGATTGCGGGCCTTGATTCCCTGTATAGAGATACCAGATGGCTCAGGAAAAGAATGCTTCCAGATGTGCATGCGCGCAAAGGTTTACAGGGATGCAGGGGACTAGCACCTTGAAAAGTGAGGATTGCCTCCAGGTTGCCCCCGAGGCAAGACGTTGATTGCTTTGAACCTGAGCAATATTAGTCACTGTGTTTCTCCTAGTAGGTGCGCCCACTACCTAGAGCAGGTTCCCCGTGGATTTTTCTGATCAGTAGAAGTGGGAGCGGGGTAAGGAGAGCCCATCTCTCGGGCCATCTTATCCCGGGAATGGGAACTCCACAGACTACAAAGTGCCCCGTCACTAAACCACCAGATGAGGGAAAAGGATGGGGATGGAGGATATTTTCCAAACTCTGGCCTCCCCCCCACCCCACCCCTCCCCACAACCCGGCTGCTTTCTGGTGGCTCTCGGACTAGGTCCTAGGTGCCGGTGTTCATTGTTAGCGGCTGGCTCAGCCTCCTTCCTTTCTGGTCTGGGGTTGCGGAGGTCTTTGAACTTCTCTCTTTCATTAGGTGGGAAGGGCCTAAATATTCCAACAAAATGGGACAAATCCTGGATTTCTGCCCTCTTAAGAAGGAAGTGCCAACCTTACTTTTCAGAGAGGATAGACAGAAGCCTTTCCTCCACCACCACCACCACCCCTTTTTTTTAAACAAGCTCTTTCACCGTTTGCCATGATCTCCTCTGAACGGTGTATCCCTCTCCTTGGGGGATCCAGATAAACTGGGGAAAGCCAGTTTAGAAGACCGTGAAAAAAAAACAGGGGGAGAGCACACGTCCAGAATGCCCTCCCTGCGGTACTGAAACAGCCTTCTTTGGTTTGAAGGACTTCCCGATGAATCCTGACACTAAAGGCAATCCGGGCTAACCAGATGGAATGATCCTCCCCACCAGCGGCATCCCTTTTTGGGGCCACCGTTGCATTTGGCGAGAGCCAGCGTGAGAAGAAACGATCTCCGCAGTTGCCAGAATTGCTGGTTTGCGCGCTATCCTAAGGCATCTGGAGGGGGAGGGCTTCATGACCGACAAGGACGGATGGAGGGGGGGCGCAGACACGGGCACTCGGGCAAGGAAGGAGCCCCCCCCGTACCTTGCGCAACCCGCTGAAGGGGATGTTGAGCGGCAGAGAGAAGAGGTTCTCCACCAGCTGCTCGAAGGTGCGCGACAACTCCTTGAACTCCGCCTCGTCCAGCCGGAGCCCCAGCAGGATGCGAGCCGCGATGCGGAAGGTCAGGGTCTTGGCCGAAGGGTAGACCGCGATGGGCCCGGGCTCCTGGCACCAAGCCCGCAGCTCCCGGGCCATGACTTTCTGGATCCCCGGCAGGTAGGTCTCCAAGGCGGCCCGGCTGAAGACGCGAGCCAAGATCTGCGGCAGCAGAGGGGGAGACAGGAGAGTCAGAGCCGGTGGGGTGGCCACCGTCCCTGAGCAAGGCTTTTAGAGGTGAGTGCCCCCACCCCAGCTATGGCCCAGCCCGACTGAGCAGCCTCCCAGTTCTCTCTGTTCTCCTTGCCAGGAACTAAGGAACGGCTCAAGTCCAGAATACTGTACTAAGAGAACTTTGGCCAGACTGTCCTATTTGAGGGCGCAGGTGGGAAGCAGCATCCCTGGGTGCTGGCCCGTGAACCCAGGGTGGGAAAACGTCTCTGGACAAGCATCTCCCTCTGCCTCCCAAGAGAGGTCTTCATCTTCTTCTTTGAATCCACACCCCCTCAGCCCAAATGGTACAGTCCCGGAGCCTAGGAGCGTCCTGCCTTCCGTGCTCGATACAACCCCCGGCGCAAACTTTGCGCTTTATAGGTTGCTGCCAGCCTCGAAGCTTGCGCAAACCTGTGCCAACCTCTCCGTCTCTCACTCTCTCTCTCTTCCAGAGGCCGCTGGCGGATGAGACCCTGATCCTGGAAGGCTTCCCCACTTTCCCACTGCTGGGAGGAGAGAGGCCGCCCTCCGGCAGTACCCTTACCTTCCTCCGCTGCCGGTGGGTCTCGGCGCTGGCGTTGAGCAGCGTGTGCGAGCCCAGCAGGATCTGGGTGCTGAGGGGCCACTGCGCACTCACGAGGCTGTGCTCGCCCAGCAGCAGCTTGCGCACGTTCTCTGCGCCGCTCACCCGGATCACCGGCTTTCCCAGCAGGTGGGTCTTGAACACCGTCCCGTATTTCTGGCGCCGGGAACTGTGAAAGCTGGAACCCTGTGGGTCGGGACAGGTGGGGGGAAGACAAAATGAGAGAGGAAAGAGGGGTCAAGGGGGGGGGAATAAGGCATTGGCCAACTACCCCTCACTCTCCTGCTTAGCCCAAGCAAATGGAAAGGGCCTCTGAGCAAGCGCAGAGTGCCGTGTCCCGTGGCCGCAGCGGCTTCTTTTGAACGCCAAGTCCTTTCATTGTCCTTGACCCACAAACCAAACGAGGCGGTTTCCCAAGAAGGTTCAGAATCCAGGTTTGCAATCTGGGTTACAAACCCCGAACTTTTTGTCAAAAACATGCCAAGGCGCCTCCGGACAAGGATTCGGGAGTGAGGGAAAGGACGTGTCTTGCAAACCGGCGCTTTCCCCCTGCCCTTGGGAGTCTCGCACGTCGGAATTAACTACAACCTCTTGCATACATTTCCCGCGAGAAGACCTTCCGTAGGATCGCGGGCTGTGAAGCAGAGCAATCCAGAGACAGGCTGCATTGTTGTTGCTTTACCCTGAAGAAGAAACTCGGCACACCTCCAGGAGGGGCTTCAGGGCAGCCGGTAATCCCCTCAGTAGCAGGGGCTCCGATGCGAGTCCCGGACTAGAAGCAAGAGCTAGGGGGACCTCTGGGCATGGCCAAAGTGTCCCTTCCTCAAGTATCTCCGCGGGCTTCCTCCCTCCCTCCTTCCCGCCGGCCTGAGGTCCCACCGCGGGGCTCACCTGGACCAGCCAGTGCAGCGTCTCGCCGAAGAAGGGCCACCCCATGGAGCCTTTGGGCAGGGGCAGGGCGCTGCCGCGATCCCGGCTCAGGTTCCAGCGCAGCGCCCACAGGTGCCGGGCCGAGGCGAGCAGGAGCCCCAAGGTCAGGAGAGTGGCCAGCGCAGCCTCCAGCCAGGTCAGCGCATCGGCGACCTCGGCCCCCGGCGGCAGCAGCAACATCTCTACCTCTTGGCTGGGCAGCATCTCCTGTCTT